TGCATGAACCATAAAACACATAACAATTAAGACTCATTTGGTGTCCTTAACTTGTAAATCTTCCTTAGAAATTTACATTCAATCCTTAAGCTTTTCCTTAGCTTTGATATTGATTGGTCTTGATTTCAAGCACACAATCTAAATGGGCATCATTACAAACATTTACAAATTCAAACCACATGTTAGAATCTTACTAATATAGGCACACAATAGAAAATAATTTCCTAAAAATTCTTTCGATGCTCATTCGATACTAATTCCATGTCATAACATAATTGTTGAACATAACACTTTAAATTGACCATTCAAGTCCCTTTTTATCTAAATTCATCAAACTTCACATAACATTTTCAACTTTGCATTTTTAACCATAAATTATGAATTCTTTTAGAATTCATCTCAACTTTTTTGTTTCATTCGAAATGGTCTTTTACTCTTTGCTCAATTCAAATTCATTATTGAAAATTCCAGCATCGAATCAACATAATCAATCTAGTACATTAACAATTACATAATTACATTTAAACCCTCCAAACTTCTCAAACTACTCACCAAACTTACCAAGTTTCCAAAATGATCCAATTTCACATGCTAACATCAATTTCAACACTCTATCATTAATTTCAGCATAGTACGTCAACTATTGAACCATTACACATAGATTCCATAGATTTCCATAATTATCGAATATGTCTCCCAACTTTCATAAAATTACAAAATGGTTCCTTATTTTTTCTAAGGCTTATAGAATACGTCCTACACCATTTCCAGCCCTACATAATTTTTATCATCCTCAAAAGCCAAGGATGAATAGTACAAGTCTAGGGTTCCATGATTTCACTTGGTTTTGATTCGATTCGAGCATGAAATCAACCTCTATTGAACCTTACAAAATCTTTATAATCAAAGCCCTAATCAAATTTCATCAATCACAACTTCCCCAAATTTTTAGGGTTAAACCGAAACTGCCAAATGCATTTCTAGGAGGTTTGATCATGATTTAATCATCAAACAAGCTTGGAAATGATTCTACAACCTCAAAAACCTTAAAATTCAACATTAATTCCATAAACCCTAATATGATCATAAACCCTAGAATTTGGGATCTTTGAACTCAAACAAGATTAGCATGCAATAATGGTATGAAATGATAGAACTCATCAAATATAATAATTTTCTATTTCACGTCTTAATCCAAAAACCTAATAAATTGGCTTAAAATGAAAAATAAAAATTCTCTTACCTAGGTTATGAAGGCCACGTAATGGAGGAGAAAAAGGACTATGTTTTCATTAAATTTTAGTTAATTTCATGTTAATTTATCATGTATTTAAGCTTAAATGAATATAATATTCATTTAATGAGAAATGACAATTTTACTATTAATGAAACTTGATAATTACATCCATATAAAGTCACATAACCCTTATCATCTTTATAAAGTCAAATATAAACAAATTAATTTTCCATTTACAACTTTGCCCATGCAACTTTTCCAAAATTTCAATCTTGCCATTTTTCATCCAACAGTCCAAATTGAACATGAAAATTATTTCTCAAATCCAATACTCCATATTATTTTTCATCATTTTAAAACGCTGAAATAATATTTCTAAGTTTAATTTATCATCGTTCGAATTTTCTCAAAATTTCTATTCGATCCGATTTACAGAATTTTTACCTGACTTTAACACTTTCTAGTTTTTAACACCAATTCCGGATCAAGAATCTGATTTCAATAAAAACCTCACTTTCAAGAATAAACTATCCATTTATAGAATAAATTTTTTTGGGAAATTACCATTTAGGTACTTAAAATTTTCCCAATCTTATATTTTGCCACTAAACTTTTAAATTTACTTTATGGTCACTAACCAAAATTTTAGGGTATCACAAGAGGAGTCTGGAAGCTCATAATCATTTATTCTTTGAGTGTTTCTTTGTTAATAGGGTTTAAGAGGTTGTCCTTAGACTTTGCAGGATTCAGAGGACGGTGGGAAGCTGGGAAGAGGAGCTTAGTTGAGCAATTACCTACTTAAAAGGTATGTCCTTCATTGTTTACATTTTGAAGCTGGCTTGATGTGCTTATATCTACTGCATTTGGGAGGAACAAAACCATAGACAATTTTGAGAGGTTAATAGGAGTGTTAGGGATATTGTTGATTTCATTAAAGAGATAATTAGGTTGAGAGTTCATAGGTCTTCTACTGACCAGGATGTGATTAATAGTTCTCTTTGTATAGCTTGGGCATCCATTCTCCTTAAGGGGAGGGGTTGTTGTTGTTTTAACTGGTATATGTTATTCTTTGTAGTAACGTGAGGGCTGCTCTCTTGGATAATAAAACAATCAATTTATTCAAAAAAATCATCATTTGGATTGAATTTAATTTTATGTAGAGATCCACAATGTTACTGTTTCGATGTAGGTTGGCATGTCGTAACACCATCAAATATTGAACAGTATAGTGACCAAAACAAAAATAATTTGAAAGTTTAATGATCAAATTAAAAAAATTTAAACTTAAGTAATTAAATAAGAATGTGAAAGATATATATATATATATATAATTCAAATTCGTACATTAACAAAAGTTGTACAAGTACGAATATGATTGGACGTTCGCAACGTGTCGATTCTCCTCGCTTTAAAGGAAATCTTTAGGACACGAGGCCGACGGGGACCCCACCATAGAAAAATCCAGATCCTACGTGTCCAAAACATTTGCTATATCCCAAAAGTGCCTTTCGTCAACGACCTTTCGCTTCTCTTCTCGCCACCCGCCTTAATAATCTCATTAAATATTCTTAATATATTTTTATGGATAAAATACATAAATGATCACCGGAATATTATTTTATTAGGTTCATGAACCATTAAAATTTATTAAATAATCCTCTAACTATAGAGAATTATTCTTTTGACTCCATTGATTATTAAAAATTATAAAATAATCACAAGATTATTCATTATGTTTCAAACTCGTTATTTTCTATTAAACATTCGACGGCAATCTAAGGCTCTAAGTTATATGTTAACTTGCTAACTGAAATATGGTAAAATTTGATCTCATAATCTCAAATGACTATCATATCTCAATCAGCATGTTACCTTCTAACTCAGATGACCTTTAATTTTTTAATGGAAAGGATGAGTTTAGAACGTAATGAATAATCGAGTGATCATTTTATAACTTTTAATAGTCGATGGACTCAACAAAGTAATTTTTTATAATCGAGAGACTATTTTGTAACTTTTAATTGCTATGAGATTCAATAAAGTAATATCTTAATACTATTTTTATTTAGAGAAAATAACCTCAGTGACCAAAAATGCCTTATAATATACGATTTTAACCAACTTTTTTTGCATTTGCCAAAATGACCAACTAAATCGCAATGCGATCGATAATTCGCAACGCGATCTCCGGTATCGCAAATCAGTTTCCAAATTTGTTGCGATAGTCCAAGTTCGCGTTGCGATTTATTCCAAATTCGCCGCGATAGTCCAAAATCGCAATGACTGGTGGTATTACATTTGTTTCTTAAGATTTTTCTCTAAAAATATAGTATTCGTGCGGACGTGTCGAAGACACGTATTATCACGACCACGACCACGACCCGACCCGACCCGAGACGCGCGAGAGTCCCCCTTATTCTCTATCACTCAACAAGTAAGTGGAAAAGCCAAGTCTTAAATACCATTCTCAATAGTGTTTCCAATACTATGTGGGATTGAGCATTACCAACACTTGTTTCCAATACTATGTGATTATTCAGGAAACAATTAACAATCAAGCACCTTAAAACAACTAAATCAACAACCAATTGCATTAGTATTATACGATTAAATATGTCATAATTAAAAGTCAATCTACAATCAATCGCGATTATTGCAATTTTAAGCAAAACATTCAAAAAAAATTGCATCACTCGCGATAATAAAAAAAATTGTTATCGTGCAATTACAATCAATTGAAAATAAATTAGAATTGCATGAAAACTAAACGAACCACAAATACTAAAGTCATTAACTATAATTCACAAATAATATCACTATTTAAGGCTCAATCCCACATAGTATTAGGAACAAGTGTTGGTAATGCTCAATCCCACATAGTATTGGAAACACTATTGGGAATGATATTTAATGCTTGGCTTTCCCACTTCCTTGTTGAGTGATAGAGAACAAGGGGGACTCTCGCGAGTCGCTGCCGCCGCCGCCGTCTCGTCTCGGGTCGTGGTCGTGATCGTGGTCGTGGTCGTGGTAATACGTGTCTTCGACACGTCTGCGCGAATATTATCTTTTTTAGAGAAAATTCTTAAGAAACAAATGCAATACCACCAGTCGTTGCGATTTTGGACTATCGCAACGAATTTAGAATAAATCGCAACGCGAACTTCGACTATCGCAACGAACTTGGAATAAATCGTAACGCGAACTTGGACTATCGCGTTGCGAATCTGGAAACTGATTTGCGATACTGGAGATCGCGTTGCGAATTATCGATCGCATTGCTATTTAGTTGGTCATTTTGGCAAATACAAAAAAAATTAGTTAAAATCGTATATTATAAGACATTTTTTGTCACTGAGGTTATTTTCTCTTTTATTTATTCATTTAAGACAAAAAACATTAGAGGTCTATGTACTTTTGAGAGAGAAAAAATCAATATAGTCATCGTATTATTTTTCTTTCAATGTGACTCTTAAACTTAAGAAACAAACCAATAGATTGTCACGTCAGCACCGTGAACTATCACATCAGCACTGTAACGGTTAACTATGAAAAGCGTTGATCAAAAGGTCGCATTGAGTTTATTTTCTGAGTTGAAGGGCCACATTGAGAGGAAAAAATAATACTATGGCCACATTAATATTTTTAAAAAATATAGGGACCTCTGATGCCTTTTTTACCCTGTGTAATCTTCAAACTAAATTAACCTTTCTGTTTTTGTCCTTCTCACGCCTTTCTGCTTTTGTTGCTGATTTTCTTTTCTCCTTTTGAATCCCGATCTTAACAGTAATCGATTCTCTGTATCGGGAAATGGGATTTGTCGTCGGACTTGTGACTGGGCTAATCGTCGGCCTTGCTATAATCGTTCTCTTTGTTCGGAACGAGAACTCCCGATCCAAGCTTCGAAATGAGCTCGTTAGTTCTTTTTTTATTTCCTTCTCCTTCGTCCTTATCGATTTTTTTCTCTCTAAATTTTCATTTTGGCTACAGGCGACTACGGTGGCTGCTTTTGCAAGAATGACAGTGGAGGATTCCAAAAAGATCTTGCCGGCAGAGTTCTATCCATCTTGGGTTGTATTCTCGCAACGTCAGAAGTTGACATGGCTTAATCAGCACCTTACTAAGATATGGCCTTACGTTAATGAGGTAAAAAGCTTTGTTCGGTGGATCAACAGAGGAACTGAAGAACAAATTGATTTCTTCTTCTTTTTTCATTTAGAAATTTTGTTGAAATTTTGGTGTTATAGGCAGCTTCTGATCTGATAAAGACTTCGGTGGAGCCGGTGCTTGAACAATATAGGCCGATCGTATTGTCTTCTTTAAAGTTTTCTAGGTTTACTCTTGGCACTGTTGCACCTCAGTTTACTGGTTAGTTTGTGGAAATAATTTTGACTTCATTTGAAAATTTTGGTTTTCATTTTAAATTTAAATGGAAGGCCAGTAATTAACCAAACATAATTGTTCTATATTAACAGTTAAATATTGTATATTGTTATTCATGAAGCTTATTTTATTTTAATTTCATATTCCTTTCTTTGAAAAAAAACGAATCCAACCAGACTTATAAATTATTATTATTTTTTTATTTTTCTTCTAAAAACCCAAAATGAGGCTGGGTATGAACGAAATGAACTTTTTATTTTACAAAATGATACTTTTTCGGGCGAGCTTTCGAGTGAATGATTATAAAATTTGGTTCAATCTTTAGAATTTTGGATAACCTTATGAAGCAATGTCATTTTTTAGGAGTAAGTATTATTGAAGATGAAGCTGATAGTGTTACGATGGAGTTGGAAATGCAGTGGGATGCAAATTCAAGTATAATACTAGATATCAAGACTTATCTTGGGGTATCGCTGCCTGTGCAGGTATCATCCGGCCTAATTTGCTCATTTCATGCTTGTTTTGCAAAATCGTTCTACATGTTCTGCTGGCGAACTTCCAGCTTGCCAACATTGTTTAAGGGTTGTAAATGTGATTAAAGGTGTAGTTTTACTGAATAGTGATATTGAAACTTTGGATGCTTGAGGTCCTGAGGATTTGCTGGGTAGTTATCAAAAGAGTTTGATCATTAAAAAATATGATGACCAAGCACAAATTTTCTTTGACCATCATTTATGCCGACAATACTGGCATTCTCGCACACCATGTTGATTAGGTAGTGTCTTGACACACAATCCCAACAAGGTTTGAAGGCTGGTAAAGCAAAGAAATGAAGTCAACATTGAAACTAAATCATTTATGCATACAATCTAGCAAAATTTGTATGATGGAATTTTCAAAAACTTCATGCAGCAGGCTTATAGATATTAGATTAGTTAATGCCAAATTACCTGCCTAGATCTATATTTCATCATAATTTTGTTATATGTGGCTGTTCCACCATTTTGACTTTGTATAAGAAACTATACTTGTAAACAACATGAATGTTGAAAACCAATTTTTTTCCCTTCTTGTTGTCTAAATGTCGCTTTGCAATGGATTTAATATAACTTCGTGTCTCAACTTGTTAAGCTTTTTCTCCATAGTGATAGTTGATGATGTGTAATTCCTTTCTCCTTTGGCTTAGGTGAAAGATATTGGATTCACCGGAGTTTTCAGGCTGATATTTAAGCCCCTGGTGAATGAGTTCCCTTGCTTTGGAGCTGTTTCTTATTCTCTGAGAAAAAAGGTTTGTTATTTTCTTCCAATGTTGCAAGTTAATGTGTGTTAGCACACATGCTTACCATGGAAAAAGTTGTAGAAACAGAAAGAAATGAGATTGAGATTCAAGTGTACTTATATACATTGTGGATTACAATGTTCCAGGGCAGTATCAGTCAAAGCATATAATATTTATGTGTAGCAATATTTTTGGTTCAAAGAGAAAAAGGAATCTGATGAGCGGATGAATTTATTTTCTTCTATTTTGCTATTTATTGAAGTTTTTAATTAAGGTGATAGCACTTACCAAATCAATTGTAGTAGCTAAGATATAAGCCTGTGATAAATAATTATGTTGGTTTCCTTTTAACACTTAAAACTGACAGATTTCACTGTGGTTTCTAGTGTCCTTTTTGTTGCATGATTTGGTTGCTAAATAGGAATAAAAAGATTGTTGTGTGTAAAATCTCAGTAAAAACTAATGAATACTAGTAGCTTCAGTCGAAGATAATATCCCTGATATCCAAATGGATTTAATTTTATCATTTAGCTCGGTTTGTGATCACTTAGGTTCATCACATGTACACTAGACACAGGCCCCTGACATATGCGCTTTTCTGATAGTAACTAGGTTAATGTGCATTTTTGTCTTGCAGAAACAAATGGATTTCACCCTGAAAGTCATTGGTGGTGACATATCAACTATTCCAGGACTTTCTGATGCTATTGAGGTTTGTGCAAATTTTGACAATGGATTACCCTTACTACTTCAGTTTTTTTTGTACTGTATCAATCAACTTTGCCGATTCTTCTTATGTTCTTAATTTTTGCGTCATTGTTTCCACAGACAAACCATTTTTCTTTTGGAGAGAAATTTAGATTTTAGTTTGAGATATTTACTTTTAGTTTTCTGCTCAGCATAACAGTGCATCTTGGAGATTTAGTTTGTAATTTTCTTCGACATGTTATGAAATTGTAAAGGGTTCTTTTGAGTACATGGAGGAACATTGCTAATCACTTAATCCGGAAAACTGAAGTCATGAGAGAGGGCAGAAGTATGGTGGCTGAAATAAGTTAGAGAGAGAGCTGCTGAGAATTTTGAGACTTAAAACTTCGTTTTTAAAGTTGAAAGTTGAAACCTCGTGCTACCTTTAGCAGCATTATGTGAGCAATGAGATGATTAATACAACCTCCGTTAAATTTTAAATGTGTTTATAGCTTGCATACAAGTTAGAATTGAGGTTTGTGGTGTTTGCGATTCACATAATGATGGATTGTGGTACGTGGTGGTCATTGAACTTTGTGAGATGGAAAGTGTTGATCATATGTTGAAGAGATTAGCGTACTATTGTTTCCCATGCAGAGCACGATACGAGATGCTATTGAAGATTCTATCACGTGGCCTGTGAGAAAAATTGTACCCATTTTGCCTGGTGATTATAGGTATGTCCTTTTCCTCTCCTTTTTCTCAATGGATAATGACATAGAGCAATATCGAAAAGAAGGAACTAGGGTCTTAGGCCAAGAATATGGACAGGGTATGAAGAGCTTTGCTCCCGTCTGTCAGGCTAAAGAATCCGAACAAAAACATAGTACTTTACTGAATTTTATCTGAAACTGTTTTTTAAAGAGAGGTGACTTGGTAATGCCAATGTACTTTCACTTGAACATAGATACTTTGTGTATCCCAAAGACAAGATGTGAGTACCTGTGGTTGATATATTTAGGATGTGGCGTCATTCACTCGCTCTGAATACTTAAGCAGTGAAACAGCTGATGGTAAAAGAAGTTAATGTCTTTCAATTTACAGTGATTTGGAGTTAAAGCCAGTTGGAATTCTAGAGGTGAAGCTTGTCCAGGCTCGGGACTTGACAAACAAAGATATTATTGGGAAATCAGATCCCTATGCTGTATTATATGTGCGTCCTTTACCCAGCAAAACAAAGAAAAGTAAAACAATCGTAAGTTTTCCTCGCCTTCTCTATTTCCTCTTTGTTCCTTCCATAAGAAAAAGAAAAACTGTTTCAAAAACTTCTCCAGTCAGTTTTAAAGAAATTTGTGTTTTAACTGCAGAACAATGAGTTGAATCCTATTTGGAATGAGCACTATGAATTTATTATTGAGGATGCCACAACTCAGCACTTGGTGGTAAGAATCTATGATGATGAGGGAGTTCAGGCATCTGAGTTCATTGGATGTGCTCAAGTACTTTTGAGGGACCTTGAACCTGGTAAAGTGAAGGATGTCTGGTTGAATCTGGTTAAAGACTTGGAGATCCAGAGAGATACTAAGTACAGGGGGCAGGTGAGTAGATCGAGTAACTTCCTTTAGTTATATAGTAAGAGTCGTGCATCGTTGGCCTTGATATATGTTTTCATCAAACTCATGTGTAATTATTTTCTAGGGTATCTGTTTACTCTTTCAAACTGTGATGAATGCATAGTAGGTTTTTTTTCAGGGTTGTATATGCAAGGGTAACTACAATAATTTGAATATCCTTCTTTCAATTTAACACGTGCTAATTCCTTTTGGAACGGTTAATATAAGGATACTTTTAACATCTAGCAAAAAATTTCTTTGGTAGCTCACTTTTTTGAAAGTCGATATCCTCTCTCTCATGCACCTTTCTTCTTTTCGGGATAGCTAACGTTGCATTATCCAAGAAACCCATTATTCCATGAATTCTTTTGCTGGGATTCAACCATGTTAAAAATGTCATCCAGCCTAATTTATGCAGAAAATGTTATGGAACTCGAGATATTGTCAACATTACAACAAAATTTCCTTAGTTCCCTTCTCTTCAAATGTAGTAAAGGTATGCCTGTCGAAGCTCTTCCTGGCAAGATAGCCTTAGAAGTCCTACCCTTGGTATGCAATGATTCAACCCAACTCAGTATGCCATTTAGCATACTTCCTTACCGTAAGAATCTTCTCTAAATTATCCTCCAACCACTTTAGAAGAGCTGCAGGTCAAGGCGATACGATCTACAATAACTTCTCACTCATCATAGAATTAGCATAGTTTTATAAAGATTATAACCCCAATTCTTAAAATGAGAAAGGGTACTTACCTGTCTAAAACAAGAAAGCCAGCCCATGAACCTATGCTATGGAAAGGCTTGGTTCCAAACCAGATTATACCAGCATGTGTTGGCCCCAAGTTGTACGCATTCTCTCACTCTTTAAGTTATTTCTTATGTTCTTTTTATCATGTTGTTTATTCTCCAAAAGGGTTGCTTTATTTGTATGAAATGGCGATATTCATGTTTTGCTTAAAATTGTTTTGTTGTTTTTTTAGGTGCACTTGGAGCTCTTGTATTGTCCCATTGGCATGGAGAATGGTTTTACAAACCCCTTTACCTCTGACGTTTCAATGACCTCCCTGGAGAAGGTTATTAAAAGTGGAGCAAATGGAACAGATGCAATTGAAAATGAGGAAGCAGCCATAAATAAGAAAAAAGAGGTTATTATTAGAGGAGTACTGTCTGTCACAGTGATATCTGCTGAAGATTTGCCTGTTGCAGATTTAATGGGAAAGGCCGATCCCTATGTTGTGCTCACATTGAAGAAATCAGAGGCAAAAAACAAAACTAGGGTAAGATTTTGATTGCCTTAGGGTGTTTTTATCATTATTAATTTATTTTGTCTATTTCATGGTCAATTTTAAAGTCGTTTTCTCCGTCAGGTTGTGAATGACAGCTTGAATCCTGTTTGGAATCAAACGTTTGACTTCGTTGTAGAGGATGGGTTGCATGATATGCTAATCCTTGAAGTCTATGACCATGACACTTTTGGGAAGGTAAATTGTTTTTTTCCCTTATGGAATGGTAAATCGTCTTCTTTACAGTTGATATTAATTCTGTTCGGTTTCCAAATTAGACAAGAAAATAAGAAGTTTTAAGCTACTTCCTTCAGTTACATAGGGTTGAAGGTTACATGGTGGGAGGATCCATCTTCATTGTTTCCCCTAGTTTGCATCAGTTTCGTCCGTTTTAAAGTTCAATGGTAAGAAATGCTTAAATAATTTTTTGGTTTTCAATCTTGAAGGACTACATGGGGAGGTGCATTTTGACATTGACTAGGGTCATATTGGAAGGGGAATACAAAGATACCTTCCAGCTAGAGGGAGCTAAGTCTGGAAAATTGAATCTGCACCTTAAATGGATGCCGCAGCCCATTTTCCGCGATTCCTAAGTGATCCCAAGGACGGGTTTGGCCTTGCAAATTCGAGTTTGCAATTCAGGTATGCCAAAGCTGCTAGTTCATTCCAATTCAATGGTTTGGCCATATTCTGTATCTCGTACCGGTGAACCATTCCTCCGCAGAAGATCTCCGGTACCACCTAGTACATAAAACCGTATATAAATTTATTTTAGGCACCGTATGATTCGTGTAAAGTTTGAATTTGGGATACTTTACCGATTGGAACAAACGAGGTAGTTTTACATGAGAAAATAGGGACTCGCCATGAACACCGGTTTTGTTTTGTCTATCCACCTTTGAATATCATTGTAGGTCACCATTCTTTCCTTTTGATATCATGGATCTATTCTTTGATTTAGATGGTAATCTGAATTGAATGTTAATCTACTGACTAGTATGTTCACATGTTGATTAACGTACATACAACTATGGATGGGCCGGACTCGAAAAATATATACCCTCCACCTGACGTGAACCTGACCCGATTAATAAAATCTGAATCTAATCTGATCTGATCCGAAATAATAAGAAATATTATTTTTATTCGATAAAAATAATGATTTAATTGGAAACAAATAATACATTAAGGGGTATTATTATAATTATTCTTAAATATATCAAGTAAAATTATATTTTTTTTGGGTCGGATATTTTTCATCCTAAATTTAAATTCGACCTGATCCGAACATCATCCTTAAAAAATACGACCCGATCGTGAATTTCTTTTAAAAAACTCAACTCGATCGGGAGTCGAAATCTGTCGGGTTCATGTCTCATGCCCATCCTTACATACAACTCTTATAGTTATTTTTAACAAAAATAAACAAATTTGGAGGTTATTTTTAACAAAAATAAACAAATTTTGAATAAAATGAATCGTCGGATGATGTAAATGTAACTTTTAATAGTAGATGACTCAATAATGTAAATTTTTTTAGTTGAGAGATCATTTTGTAATTTATAATTTAACGAAAAAGATATTGTTTATTGAGGGACCATTCTTTCCTTTTCGATATCATGGATCTATTCTTTGATATTTTTTTCCAAGGACTATTTTGCAGTTCTGGAGATGTGGGTGTAGCAGAAGAAAAAGAGAGAAAACAGTTCCCAATTCACAAACAGTGATGATGCTAAAGATTTTGATACAACATACAATTCAAGATCCATTTGAAGTGTTCATTTCCAAGCATTCATCAGAAGAAAAGGATCACTGCAAGTAAAAGCATCCTGTAAGTAATTAGCATCTTTGCTTAATCAATTTGATTAATGTCGGCATTTTCGTCTCCTCAACCAGATTCATTCCGCTCTGGTTGAAATTTCATCTTCTTCTTAGTAAGAAGCAATCCACCCAAGCGCGCTGCTCGAATGAATCTTCTTCAGTTTTCTTCGTCTCGGACTGCTTGACCTGCGAGAAAACCATTCAGTTCAACCTCATTTTTGAAGTGAATCAAACTCTCCTTCAACATATCCAATACATTGCATGGTAATATCATGCAAATGTTAGAAAAATGCATCAAACCCATCAATAAGCATGAGCCAAAATTTGTGACCAAAACCCTACAATATGTAAACATAAGTATTGCTAAAAGACTAGATTTTTCCCATCATCAAAACTGGAGCAAGAGATGGTTAGTTACTCTCACCAGTACTGATTGTGTAATACAAACGAGTCAGTGGGCACTTTTTTCCCATCATCATTGCGGTTCCAATGGTACAAAGCATGTGTCCTATTTCGAATCTCCAGCGTCGAATGACCATAACTGGCTTCTCGGAATGCAGAATACTCTGGTTGAGGATCTCTGAAGCTGCAGAACCATAAAAAAACATTTTCTCAAGTCATTAACTAGTGTAAGTTCTTACGGATTTAATTGTAAACTAGTAGCGAATTGGCATTGATGTTCTTGCTAGACATGCCTTCAGACTAACCTTCCTGCTAGACCTTCTTGATTTCCACCATCTCCAACAGTGATGTAAACCGGAGCTGATTTGTCTGGTACTGGGTAACGGTCACCGTCTGATACATTGTACCTTATATTTGAGATTCGGAACTGCAAATTCATAAAAATAAATAAATAATGGTAACGAAATAGACCCATACATATTATGCATGGCAGAGTTCAGTATAGATGCCTCTAATTATCATTTAGCCAATTGCATCATTTCAGATAGTCCAAAATGTGGTGCTTAACAAAAAAGGAAGCGAAATGATAAGGAAAGAACCATACAGATCTTTCATATGCATGGACATGACCGGCAAAGACTACATCAACTTTGTGGTGAACGAACCATTCTTCAAAAACTGCTCGCATACTTTCACCCTCCATGAAATGAGCATCGTTACTGTTGTAGATAGGAATATGCATAAGGATAATGAGCCAAGGAGTCTTCTCACGGTCAACCCTCTTTAATTCTTCACTAAGCCACTCCCATTGAGGTGTGTATTTCACTATTCAAGTTGAAAACAAGTTCAGGGTAAGATATATAATGACGAGAAGAAAAAGGAAAAGTTCGAGGTGAAATTAGTTCCGAGAATAGAAGCCGAAGGATGCTCAATAGGAAATAGCTAATTAGGATGAATAAAAATAGTTTAAGTGAAAAAAAGGTACCAAATGGAGAGTAGCTGGATAGCACAATTATATGGGCAGACGCACGTCTAACTGCATACCACATAGGACTGCTACTTTTACAAGCCAAATGAGGTGTAGGGTACCGTTCGAGATAGGACTTAAAAGGAACAACTTCATCCTGCAGATGTTTCCAGAATTGAGAATGTTAAGCACTAAACTAGATAACTCTAAATGTTCTGCTGAAAAGAGTGAGTTTATACAGTTTCGTAGCTTTTGTAAACATCGAAAACAAATAACAAATATTTTCAGCTATGCCACATCAAGTGGGTGCGTCCCAAGTAGGGGAAAAAGGAATAAAGTTTATAGTATAGAAAAGTATCATATGCCTTGAGCAATAATGTGATAGCAATGCTTGATCAATAATTTTACCATGTAAGGAAAGTATTCTATTTCATGATTCCCAGCAGACCAGATCCATGGCTGATATGCAGTACTTCTCTCCACAAAGCGACCCCATGAATCCCATCTTATACCAACATCATTATACTCATATCTATCAGCATAAGCAAGATCTCCTACAAACAAGACAGTCTCTGCCCCACTCTCCATGTAATGCTCAAGGGTGGACAGTGAATTATATGTCTGACCCAAATCACCTGTAACGTATTCAATTAAATCAAAATAAATATGAGAAAAAAAGGAAAAAAAATATAAAGGGAACACATCAATATGAGTTAATGAAAAGACATGGCATCCAGAAAGCACAGAAAGTCTGATCTGGTTAATGTTAATTGAGTTGAATCTTTCTGCAATGCATGAGAAACACTAGAAAAGTTGTAAAACATGGTTGATAGACGAGATGAACTTGGTTAAGCGGTAAACAGCGGTTCAATTGAAATAGTACTATTATTAGTGATTCTAATATGACCAAAGGAATAAACTCTGGCATTCAATTGAAACCAGGAACTTGTCTAGCATCAGAACAGCTTTGGTTAACGTAACAGAAAATATTCCAACATCGGTTTAGATTACAGAGGAAAACACCCACCAATGATTCCAAATTTGTAAGGAACATCTGGACCGATTTTTGGAGGTGTTTGAAACCAAAATTCTCTTGCCGAATGACCAGTCCCGATCTTGTAATAGTACTTGGTATCATACTGAGAAAAGCAAATAAAATGGTTAAGCAACCAGTTTGTGCCCATCATGATTCAGATAAAGCGCCAATTACAACTTCAAACAAAGCTGAACTCAAAGTCAAATACAATCCATATTAGGAGTACGTAGAATAGGCTTCTAATGAAAACAGGCAACTACGTTGAAGAAGATAAGCCATTCTGTATTACCTCAAGATTATCAACAAGAACATGATGAATATAGCCAGATTTGTATTTATAAAGGGTGTAGTTTGTCGTCTTCCCCTCTGCAATAAATTCAGATTTTCCCTTTGACGTCCCATATTGTACTTTGCTGGCCTCAGGTTCATCAGCAGTGACCCATGAGATAATTACCGCTTTTCCTTCATAGTCCCCTTGTGTCATATGAACCTATAGTTTAAATAACATCTTATGTATATGTTGGTAACGGTTTGTCATAGAAGCCAACAATGAATAGACGATAAGATGCTGTGCAATTGGAAAACATGCTTCAAAAGGGCAGATTTAATTAGTTTTCAGCAAACAACATAAATTTGACAGATATAATGCATAGAATAGTATCAAGTATTTGCATGTTCCAAAAATGTGTTCACCTATTTTTTCCTAAATGGAAGTTCCCTAGTATTCTCAGAAGGGAATATGAAACAACTTGATACTTAGAAATATTGTCTTCATTGTCGCATAATATAGTTCTTATCCAAGCACTGATAACGATCATTGATAACAAAAATAGGACTGACAAGTGCATATGCCTATGAACATTGTGTAGCTAGGCGAAAAAGTGAAGTTAATAAAATAAAAGGTCTTACTTGTTGTGGTGCATTATGTCCTGTTGGAACTGCAAATACTTCATTATCAAGCGGGATGTCTTCCGATGGATATTCCTTCCTAATGAAGTCACTAGTGACACCGGCATTCACATTGTTGTCAGAGTTCAAGAGAACAAAGGAAGTCAATATGAGTTGAAACAGCAAAGACTTCATCTTAGTGACCCCTGCTATGACTCTTGAGAAATCAACCAACAACCATGTGATTCACTGCAACCAAGATTAAACACCAATTTAGATTTAAATACAAGATACAATCTACAAAGAGTGAGCATTATCACATAAAAATTTCAACATAGTTCCAATCAAACAGTGGACAACACAAGAAACAAAACCATCAAATGAGAGAGAGTAAACTCAAAATTATTCTAATAGGAGATAATGCTACATAAAGACAACCAATGCTAACATCTCTGCATCATCGAACTTTGATTGTTAGATAAGGAAGATCCCACTAACATATGACCGATGTCGAAGTTCAAACCATCAACTTCAATGTTCAAAGATCCCACTAACAGATCCATCTAACATAGATCTTATCTTCATTTCACATATAACCTAATAATATTCAGCATAAAAAACAAAAAAACTGCCACATGCACTTTGAAAAGAAGAATATCATCTCAAAATACAATCAAAAGCAAACCATCGCAACATACATGAACAGATAAGTACTGATACGGTGTTATTTCCATTCCATCGTTGAGACACGAAAAAGATCTCATTAATAAATTTCTGAATCTATACGATATCTACTAGGTTGAATCACACGAATGCAATTAAAAGAAAACACCATATCAGAAAAGATCACCAAAAAAAAGGAGATTGGAAACAAGAACGAATTCAAAGCGCCAACATTTGATTAAAAAATAATAATAATAATAATAAAAGAGATAAAAAAGAAGAGAAAGTACCTTTGGAGGTGAGGACTCAGTGATGGGAAATTTTGTTGTCTTCGCTTAATAATTGGATCGAGTTGGGAGGCGTACGTTAGTTGAATTAGTATGGGCAGAGGTGGCGTACGTTAGAGGCCAATCGCTTTGTCGTCACTCGCGGTGGTTTGCGTGGTGCTAAGAGAAATTGGTTGTGATTGGGAGAGACTTTACACGTGCCTGCATGGTATTGGATAATTTCGCCATTGATCCTAGGTTATATATTCGACGAGATAAATCATTTAAAAAAACTTTTACGACATTAATTATTGATAATTAAAAAAATTTATTTAGAAATAAATACTTAATATTTTTTCCGTTACACTGGTAGGTTTCTATCATTAAAAAATTGTTAAGTAACACGTGTTATATTAAGATTTTTGTAAAAATATTTATAAATAATATTTTATTAAAAAAATTAAAAAATATATAAACATAATATATATAATTAGCGGTTTTTTTTAACGGTAAACACTTAAAATTCTAACATATAAAACACTATACACCTATTTCTAAACAAAAAAATCTTTAAACACCAAAATTAATTTTGAGTAATTTATACACTTATTTTTATATTAGGCATTAATATTAAATTATACTAAACTATTATAGAATCTTTTATAAAATTAATATTAAATTATAAATTTCATCATTCAATTTTTTAATTTTATTTTATCATTAGATTTTAATTTTTTAATTTACTCATCGGGATAGTGGAGATAACAATGGGACAAACATCTTACACCTTGTGTTTTTTTCCTACATATCTGAACCACAGTGCCTAGGGGTCTTCTAATTTTCGAACTAATTCGGTTAATCGACCGAATCGAATTAGTTCGATTAATTCGGTCGATTAACGATTAATATTTTTTTAGATATTCGATTAACGGTTAATTCGATTCAAAATCGATTAATTAATCGAATTAACCCTTAAATATTTTTTAATATTTTTTTCACCCCCATAATATGATGCCCCCACTTAAATATTGTTTCACGCGTAGGCATAACATGGGTGAGGCAACACTGTTAGTGTAAATTATTATCATTTCTCTTGTTCTTGGTTTCAGCTTTGTTTTTATCAACTTCGATGGCAGCCTGACAAGTGGGTTCTTCTATGTCTTTCTGGTGCAACTTTTTAGTTTATGGTGCATGTCACGCACGCTTTATCGATCAAAATGTTAAAATTATTTTTTAAAGTAAAATTTTTATATGTATATAAAGCTACTGGTGAGACAAGATTCAACCTTGAGTTTTTAACATGCTTTTTAGCATAGAATAATGGGGTTTAAAGATGACGGATGAAGTATTTTGTATGTTTAATATGATAAATTGTTTTTTTAATTAAAAAATATTAAATTCAAAAATTATAAAAAAAATCGGTTAATTCGAAAATTAATCGAGTTAATCGAAATTTATTCGGTTCAGTTAATACTTTTATAAAAAAGTTCGGTTTAGTTAACGATTAAATAAAAAAATCAGTTAATTCAGTTAAGGGTATTTCGGTTCGGTTCGATTTTAACCGAATGAACACCCTCAAAAGTGCCTACTAGACCCAGACAACATGCAGAACGACCTCGAAAAATCCTGCATACCCTATCATATTGCATCATAATTCCGCTTAGAGAAAATAACCTCAGTGACCAAAAATCCCAGATAATATACGATTTTGATCAACTTTTTTTGGATTTGCGAAAATGACCAACAAAATCGCAATGCGATCTCTAATTCGCATTGTGATCTCCACTATCGCAAATTCGCGTTGCATTTCGCGTTGCGATAATTGAAAATCGCGTTGCGATAGTTGAAAATCGCGTTGCGATTTTCCAGTTCGCGTTGCGATAGTCTACAGTTGTCGTTGCGATTTTCCAAATTCGTTGCGATAGTTAAAAAAAAAAGATTTTGTTTCTTAAGAATTTTCTCTAAAAAGATAATATCCGCGCGGACGTGTCGAAGACACGTATTACCACGACCACGGCCACGACCTGAGACGGACGACGGCGGCGCGCGAGAGTCCCCCTTGTTCTCTATCACTCAACAAGGAAGTGGGAAAGTCAAGCCTTAAATACCATTCCCAATAGTGTTTCCAATACTATGTGGGATTGAGCATTACCAACACTTGTTTCCAATACAATGTGATTATTCAGGAAACAATTAACAATCATGCACCTTAAAACAACTGAATCAGCAACCAATTGCATTAGTATTATACGATTAAATATGTCATAATTAAAAGTCAATCTACAATCAATCGCTATTATTGCAATTTTAAGCAAAACATTCAAAAATAATATCACTATTTAAGGCTCAATCCCACATAGTATTGGGAACAAGTGTTGGTAATGCTCAAATCCCACATAGTATTGGAAACACTATTGGGAATGGTATTTAAGGCTTGGCTTTCCCACTTCCTTGTTGAGTGATAGAGAACAAGGGGGACTCTCGCGCGCCGCCGCCGCCGTCCGTCTCGGGTCGGGTCGGGGTCGTGGTCGTGGTCGTGGTCGTGGTCGTGGTCGTGGTCGTGGTCGTGGTCGTGGTCGTGGTCGTGGTAGTGGTAGTGGTAGTGGTAATACGTGTCTTTGACACGTCCGCGCGGATACTATCTTTTTAGAGAAAATTCTTAAGAAACAAAATCTTTTTTTTAACTATCGCAACGAATTTGGAAAATCGCAACGGCATTGTAGACTATCGCAACGCGAAATGGAAAATCGCAACGCGATTTTCAACTATCGCAACGCGAAATGGAAAATCGCAACGCGATTTTCAACTGTCGCAACACGAAATGGAAAATTGCAACGCGATTTTCAACTATCGCAACGCAAAATGCAACGCGAATTTGCGATAGTGGAGATCGCAATGCGAATTAGAGATCGCATTGCGATTTTGTTGGTCATTTTCGTAAATCCAAAAAAAATTGGTCAAAATCATATATTATCTGGGATTTTTGGTCACTGAAGTTATTTTCTCTTCCGCTTAAGCCATCTCCAGCGCATCGCTGGAGAGGCAAAAATCTCAACTTTGGAAATGATTCTATGCTCCAACCTATCGCCACTTTATAGCTGCATTGTGGCGACAACTACAGTTCACGCTACAACTGGCGTTGTACTGTAGCTGCACTACTTTTTTTCTCTAATTTTTCTGATTTTGGTTTTTTTATTATATGTAAAGATAGTGTTGGAGATAGTGCTGAAGATGAATTATTGTTTCATCTTTATAGTAGATATAGAGATGATGTACAATAGAGATGAGGGTTGGAGATGGCCTTAATACCCAACACTCAATGATCTATTTTGTTTAGATCAATATTTTTAAAGTCGGACCGGACATTGAACCGGTGAAGATATTGATTCACTGGTTCAACCGCGGTTGAACCGGATTTTATATAAAATAATATTTTTTTAATTTTACATAATATTCAAAGCAATATTAATATATATGTAACAATTTTTTTAAGTTTACAATATTAAAAGGTATAAAAATATCACAAGTCATAACATATATAAATTAAAAACCATAAAATCAAGTGAAACAAAATGATTCAAATCAACTACAACATAATATTTAAGGTAAAACATATTAAATAATAAATATAATTATATAACTATAATCAAAAAAATAAAATTAGGGCTTAAAAAATTATAACAAATGATGTCATTTGGTTTATTTTTTTTAAATAATCTCACATGGCTAAGAAACATAGAAGAGCATCCCAAAATTTTAAAGAGTAAAAATATGAGAACAAAATAATCTCACATGGCTAAGAAACATATAAGAGCTGAAGAGCATCCCAACTTACTTCTATAAATAATAGAGATTAATTTGACATTCAAAATCATAAAGCCTTTTGGTGAGCACAGAGCGAAATATTATTTCGCTTCAATTGAGCTCAAATTTTAGGCTTCAATCGAACTTCTAATTTTTTTTTGAGTTCGAGCCTTTTCGAGTTCAAGTTTTAATATTATATTTCGAGTTCGAGTTGAACTTGATAATTTTTAGCTCGTGAGTTTTTGAGTCGAGTTAAGCTTACTTTTAAAGTTTTCGAGTTCAAGTCGAGCTCAACAATACTCGAATTTGACTTGGCTCGTTGAACAAACGGCGTCGTTTGGTTTAATTTTTTTAAAAGAAAAAAAGTGAACCGGCGGTTCAAACCGGTTTTGCCGGTTTTCAGCCGGTTCATTGTCAGACCGGTTTTGTGAGGTAACCGGACCGGATAGGCCACCGGTTCACGGTTCAACCGGTTCAACCGGCTTGTCCGATCCGATTTTGATAACCATGGTTAGATACATTCAAGGATAAATATAAAATTTCATGTGAGATATATATAAACTTAATAAGTTATATTAAAAATTTAAAAAGGTACGAAATTACATAATTCAAGAGGTACAAATTCAGAAAATTATATTAAAATTTTAAGATTACGAAATTGAATAATCAATAAAAATATTTTGATTATATAATGATTTAAAACATTTAAAAAATATGATCAGACCTTCAAACCTTCCTCAAACTATCAACTTTAATTTTTTTCAAAATTATATCTAACATTTAATTTTTAGTATATAAACTATCGGTTTTAGTCTATTTTAAGACCTAAACTTTTAATTTTTCAAAATTATATCTAACATTTAATTTTCATTTCATTTTAATATTAAACCGATAAAAATTTATCTAATACCAAAATTATCAACTTTAGTCTGTTTTAATACGTGACCTCTAGATACATTCCATCTCTTAATGATTCCATGTTTAATAAAAAAGTCAAAAGTTGCGAGCCTCGTGAGGTAATTGAGTAACTAGGTTTAGAGGGTTGTTAGGTCACGTAACTCAAGTTGAATTCTAAAGCATACTTTCATACGAGAATCGTGTTCTGCGATTGTGTGGGGGTTGGTATAAAAAAAGAGAGTTAATAATGAGAGGGTAAAGTACACAAATGGTCTCTTAGTTATGGGTATTACTTTATTAAATCTTTTAACTTTTAAAAGTTACACAATGATCATCTGACTATATAATATTACTTTGTTGAGTCCATTGACTATTAAAAGATACAAAATGGTCACTCGACTAT